TACTTAGACTGATCAATACGAAAAGAATCCACAACTCAAACACAGAATTTTCCATTTATTAGAAAATACAAATAAAGAAAATTATATTTTGTTATTCACATATTACGTATCCTTGAATATGTAATCCAACTTCATGTACAAAGTGAATTTAAATCTTTCCACAACGGCCTTGGGTTTCAGCAATTGTTGATCAGCAGCCTTGTGTAATAAACCTCTGTACTAAAGTAAACAGAAAACACTTCATATAAGAAAGGGGGGAAATTATAAGAGGTTTACTTTGTGATGCACTTTTGAGAGGCATCAAAACTGCAGTGGCAGGTTAGGAATTTCATTTCCATGGAAAAAAAACAAAACAAACAATACAGAAGCACTCATATGATACAAGAAATAGTTTTGTGACACCTGCCTCGGACAGTCTCTCTGTAGGCTTGGTCAGTGCTATTTTAATGGCCTCTTTAAGTCCATTTGTCCATCTAACAATTCAGGACACTGTTGTCTATATAAAATACTCAACACCGCTTTAGTAACTAGTTTCTGGATTATGTCTTTGACCCAGTTCATAAATAAAAATACATTTCACACAATAAATATCATCGTGGGTAGGTATAGGTAGTCAAACAAACAAAGAGAAACTTCAAAGACTTTGACCATTTGAAATTCTTGCTAGTCACCATAGATGTAAATGAGGTATTTAATGCACAACCTTCTCTTTGATTCTTCATCATTAACTCTCATCCTTTCATTTCTTCATGGAAATTGTCTTTTGTTTTTTTTTTTTGTTAGTGGAAAATGTCACATAATTGAAATCTTGGCTCGACTGGAAAGTTAAAGACTATCCACCTGTAATTTGTCTTGTTTAAGACCAAACTTGCAGAATGTGGCACTGCAGTGCAAGCGCAAATTTCATGCAACTTTAGAAGATACCGTGATTTGAGGTTCAGTGTGCAGCCCATAAGAGGACAGAAATAAAATGCTGCAAAGCAACTATTTGAATGTCTTCGACTAAATTTAAACTTACCTTACAGTAACTTCTACAACAGTTAAACTCCGTGTGGGTGAACTACACACCAGCCCATATCTTAAAATCTATTTTACTGATGCAAAATTAAATTATTTTACTTTAACAGCATTGGCATGATGTCTCAACCAAAGTTTAGAAAAACTGGTCCAGTATACTTGCTTCGTCATATATGCTATAGTTTGGAACAGCAAATAAAAAAGCAGAAAGCGCTAAATTTCAATGTAATGTGTTAAAATAATGCATACACTTGTACCAATAAAAACAATCAAATATTTTCAAATTGATATGTGATAATGAGGAATTAAATCTATGTTTGTAATTATTTTGTCTATCTTTTAAAAATGTAATTCAAATGTAAAAGGACACATTATAAGAAGCAGTGCCATTTAAAATTCTATTTAAAGGTGAACAGTGTCATATGGGTTGAGGTAATGGTTGATTACAGGACTGTACTGGCTACTATAATAAAATAAAGTACTTTTGACACAAAATAAATGTCTTTGAGTAGTTTACATTAAAAAAAAATT